CCCACCAGTCTGGGTAAAAACTCCCTCTAACAGCTCTCCCAGGAGCATGGTAACCAACCCAGGCCCCCATCACTGGCCATGTGTCTCCTCCACAGAAAAGTAAAAGGTAGCTAGTTGGTCCCCAAATGGGCTGCTTTCCTCTCTCTGGAGCCAGAAAGCTTTTCCTGTTGGGATTTATAAGTTGCTCAGGGGCAGGGGTGAGAAGTTGCCTGGCATGAGGGAGAATGCAGCACGATACTCCAATGGACCCTCAGGCAAGTCCCCTAACCTGATGCAGTGAATGTGTCAATACCTCTGGGCAAGATGGGCAAGGCCCTTCTCTGGCTGCAGCGAGCACCTGGCCTGCTATTCCTCCTCTATGTTCCCACATACATCATGCTGCCATGCTACCCTTCCAGGAAATACTTGCCACCTGGGCTCTGAATACAGCACATGCTCTGTAAGGCTGCCAAAAAAGGCTCCAGAAGGGAATACCAATTGCACGTTTGAAGTGAGCCCCAATATTTCCACTCAATGACTTTTGGCAGCTGAAATGAAAATCAGTGGCCAGTAGTGGTCTGAGATAGTCATGGAGGTCTGTTTATAGCAAGGTGTTCACAGAGTAGGATTCAAGAGGGGTTGGGGTAGGGGAGCAGGCAGACAGACAAATTTTCTTTTCCTTAATAATGTGGTTAAATTGACTATAAATCCAGTCATGCACACCATGATGTTTCAGTCAACAACAAGTCCCTCAAGATTATAATACCATGTTTTTACTGTACCATTTCTATGTTTAGATATACAAATATTATTGTGTTACAGTTGCCCACAGTCAGTATTCAGTACAGGAACACGTTGCATGGATTTGTAGCCTAGGAACAAGAGGCTATTCGATACAGCGTAGGTGTGCAGCAGGCTGTACCATCTAGGTTTGTGTAAGTACAGTCTATGATGTTTGCACAATGATCAAATTGCCTAACAATGCATTTCTCAGAACTTATCCCCATCATTAAGTGACGCATGACTGTATATTCCTCCTTTTCTCAAATCTGATTTGAAATAATTTATGAAGTTAATAAACGATAAGATCCAAAAAAGAAGGGGCAAAAATATGCTGATCGTAAGGGTTTGTACAATCACTGTGATTGTGTAACACTTGGCTTTGAGCTTCCTGGCAGCCGGGACAAAAAGAAACAATCTCCATCTGTCAGGTTTAAGCATCTTCTGGGAGACAGACATTGTCTCAGAAATAAGGAAGCCCCTCAGGACTCCTAAGGGAGCTCACAGAATGAGGAATTTGGAAAAGAAAAGGTGGTGAAACCGAGAAATGAGGAAAAGAGAGAGGGGGTGCTAAGGTAAGGGTTTCTGAGTTCAGTTTGTCTTCAAGAGGCTGCCTCCGCAGGGCACATGGAGTCATTCTAGCCTTCTAAACGTCTGAAGTGTTTCCAGAACACAGAAAGCTCCTATGATGACATTACGCAACCTCAGAGTGGGCAAGGAGAAGGTGTCAGGAGACCAAACGTCAGCCTGACTTGTGCTCCTGCCCACACCCATGCCGCCTCCAGGCCAGCCTGCCTGCCAAGTGAGGCGCCTGCCCTGCTTCTCTGTCCATTTGTCCTCTTCCCTCTGCTTAAAGACCTGTCCCTTTTGCCCTATTTCTCAAATGGCTATCTCACTTCCAAGGGGGCTGTTTACACATTTGTGAGTCATTTCCCACTTCCCTTTTCTTTTCAAGCTCTATGTGGACCTATCTACTGCTACATTGGAGTAAATCACTGATAAATGGTCCAGAAGGCTGTGGTGGTTGCAATTGTTCAGATGTTACACTTGGAATAATTATTTCAAAGCTGAAAGCGGTAAAGTTACCGCTTGAGGGAGAACATAAGGTGTTTTTTTAAATATATATATATTTTAAACTAGCAATGATAACAAACCAAAGTGATACACAATGCATACATTGCTTATAACCTTTGGATATAAACTGTTCTGAAAAAGTATGTGCAACATGAATTCTTGAGATATAAAACATTATAATCCCATTAGGGAACTCCTTAGAACCCTGCAGTGACCACTTTCTAAAAAAAGACTCCTTTGCAATATTAATAAGGAATGCCTAACTTATCTGCTTATGACCTAGGCTTCCAACTCTGCTCCTTGGAATCCTAGGGTGTCCCAACAGCGCCTTAGGAGCTCCTACTTCTGCAGCCCCACTTCTTTGTTTTGCATACTGGGTTTTAGATGAGATATGAGCACATGAGATATCATGTGCTGGGGATGGGGAGAGGCAGATGGTAGCATGAAGACCCTAAAACAAGGCACATCTGTAGAACATGCTTTCAGTTGCTTCCCTTACTAATGGTAGATATTTGACAAATTCTTCATTTTGGGGGCCAGTTTTCTTTGGGGCTACCAGCAAAATACACCTCTGGGAAGGTAACTGTTGTTTAGGATACAGTCTGTGCCTCTCACTGCTTTGGGATTGGAAGCTGGCAACACACCACAGTGAAAATCATGCTTTCCTGCATCCACTGCAAGGGCCAGCTGGCCAAGGTCCTTGGAGAGGCTGCACGCCTCAGTGCGGTGGGTAAAGAACCCATGTATGTGAGGGCAGCAGGAATGCCAGGGCAGAAGCCTCCCCTCTCACTGCCTAACATCCAGTTCCCTGTTTTCACATGCCTTCCAGAAACCAAAGACCTTCACACACACTCTCTCCAACCCTGATTCTCCATCAGCTCCAGACTATCTACTGCCCATCTAGCATCTCTACTTGCACATAATATAGTGGCAGTCTGACTAGAACATAAGTCTTGATTTCTCCTCCAAAATCAATAACGGGCACCAGTGCTCCCCAAGATGCTCTAGCTAAGACTATGGAAGTTACACCCTCCAATCTCTCTCCATTCTGTCAGTTCTGAACCGCATTCTCAGGCCTGGCCTGAGAGGGAAATGTGAGGGAAATGTGGCAGCTCTAAAGCATTTGAATACCCAGGGCCCTGCCCTCAGACCAATTATAGTAGTCCCTGGGGGTGGGGCCCAGCCATCAGTACGTTTAAACAGCTCTCCAAGAGATGGTACAGGCAGGCTTGAAAACTAGTAGCTTAAAACAGACTCCAAATCCAACAGCTTCTCTCTGGTTTCACTGCTCTTACTTTGGTCTGAGCCACCACCATGTCTTGCCCGGACCACTGCAATACCTCTAGTCCCCCTGCTTCTACTTGTAACACCTTGAATCTCCATTGCAAGCACAATGCAAATCAGATCACACCCTGTCTCTCTGAAGGCTGCTGACTGCACTTAGAATAAAATCCAAAGTTCTCAAGAGGCCTACCAGGCCCTGCACAATCTGGCCTCTGAGGCCCTCTTCAACTCTTCTAATCACTCTTACCCCCAGCTACCATGTTTTGATCACCCCAGTCCTAGTCCTATTTCTCAGATGTGCTGAGCATGTTTCTGTCTCTGGGCCTATGAATCTACTCTTTTCTCTACCCTTGGATCTTCGTTTGCCTGGCTTGTAACCCTGTGTCATTCAGGTTAGCTCAAAAGGCACCACCTCAGAGATGGTGCCTTAGACCATCTCGATCTAAAGTAGTCCCCCTTTGCCCCAGAGAGTCAACAGCACATCATCCTGGTCACTTTGTCTTATTGTCTTTAAAGCACTTATCACTTTCCAAAATACCCTGTTCAATCATGTCCTTACTACCTGACCCCGTCACTACAAAGTGAGCTTCACAAGGGCAGGAATTTGCATCTGTCTTGCTCATAACTGTAGCCATTGCTCAGAAAGCAATCTCTCACAGAACGGGCACTCAGGAAACATGGCCATTCATTTTATTCCCACACTGGTGCCACTCCTCCTCACTACTGCCAGAGTGAGACTTGTAAAATGACAGTTTTGTTTAAAATGTGCTGAAAATCCTTAGGGGCCCTAAACTGCCCCTCATCATCCAACTCCTATCCTCCTCCTCAGGTACCTCACCCACGTCACCAACCTAAATTCATTCTCTTCCTAAGTTCCCACCACTCCTGGTGCCTAGAGGAGCCACGCCCCTGCATTCCTATGTCTCTGCAAGCGGCTCCCTCTGCCTGCCTTCCTGTCCTCAATGTCCACTGCTTGGACAAGAGCTGGTTTGGCATTGCTTCCTCCAAGCAGTCACCTCTATAGATTGATTAATCTCCCCACCCTTGTTCTCCCACAGCAATCCATGTTTCTTTCTGCCACAACCTTCATCACACAGGTTTATCGTCACCTGTCTTTTCTAGATAGAGAGCATCTTGAGGGTAAGAACAGTATCTGGGGCTTGGCAGACAGTAAACTATGAACTGAGAGAAGCAATGTCTTTTACTTCTGCATCCCCAGTAGCAATGGTATCATACACATTTCTGAATAAATCCTTAACTTATTTTCAGCATGACCATATAGATGCTGCTGGGAAAACTCTTTCATATCCTTGTGTTTGGGGACACTTAGGATTACACCCATATACATGGTTTCCCTCAGGTGATGGCTGTCCCGCATGCAGTGCTAAATACTAGGCCAACAGGCCCCTGCCTGCCAGTGTGTTTGGTCTCCCTAAGGCATGCGCATGAACAGAGATGCTGTCTGGACTAGTGGCTGACATGTAATTGAGTTGGGAAAGCTGCTTTCCTTTGGGATGGATTAATAATAATCCACCACCTGAACCGGCAGGAAATGGAGCCCTTTGAGACAAGAACTAGCTCAGGCCCATCATTATCATCACTACCTCACTGTCCCTGGGGCTCACAGAAACAAAATCTGTATGGTCAGTGTCTAGCAGCAGTGCTTTCCCTCTCTTAATTTAAACACACACGTCCCACGTACTGAAACAAGCCACAGAAGGTCTTTATCAAATAATGTATTCTCTTGCTTTTCCCATACAAAAAAAGGAACAGAACAGAGGGTTTAATACCAGGGTGCACAAACATTCAATAGCCACGTGCGCAGCTTGGTATATTCAGCTAAGTCATTGAGCAGAACACTACTGCTTTACCCAGATATTCACCAAGAGGCACTTGCTGCGGCCTGAAACAGGCTTGTCCAGCTTTTCAGGAAAAGACGCACCTCGCCCAAGCAAAGTGAAGGCCATTTCCGTGCAGGTTCCTGGAATTGGATGTGGCTTTAATTTGAAGTCCACCTAGCTCCAGCACTGTCTTCACTGGGAAGCCCCATCCTGACCCAACCCTCCAGCATGCTTTCTGCTCTGATCATCTGGTCCCAGTCTTCAAGGTTATCTGTGTCTTTTTAACCAGAGGCCAGGTTTCCCCTAGACCAAACCCCTCCCACAGCAGGCCCAATGAATGCATATATCCATGTACTTATAGTATCACTTAACCAAGACAGATGGGCTGTGGTACAGGTGTTGACCCCTCTTCCCCAGTCAGAATTCCACAGAACTCTGAACAAGGCAGAGGTCTACTTCCTCACCCTCCCCTGGCGCTCCTATTCTCCAAATTCCCAAGGTCCAGGGGGAGCATGCAGGCTATGGCCATGCCAGAGCCAGAGGAGGAGAGTGTGGGCTGGTCAAAACAAGCCCAGACATACTCACGGGGTCCGTCAGCATGGCCCGGCAGTGGGAGGCCAGGGCCAAGAAGGCCAGCAGGTTGAACACAATTCCGTTGATGATGCTATACACGTAGTCTCGAGATGGAATCAGCATGACAAAGAGGACCACAAACTCTGCATAGAGGACCAGAAACCAGGTAACGATGGCACAGGCGATGCCACAGCCGTCACGGATAAACCACATGGTTCCCACAGGACCAGGGTAGGGGGGTGGGACACACTTCTCCGGTTGGAGGTATTCTGGTTTCCGCTCAATGTCTCGGAAGTGGTGGGTGGGGATAAGCATCATAAGCTATTCTGTCCATACTGGCATCTGAAAGAGAGAGGAAAGAATCCAGAAACTTGGTGTTGTCTTATCATTAAGGAGGTTTGACAAAATTACTCCCAAAGTGAGTTGTGATTACCTATCTGCAAACCCCTATGTGCAAAGCCACCTAATCACCTTGTTCATTTAAAACATGAGTCCTCTTCCCTGCTTCTGAGAGTCAATTTAGCCTTCTTGAAACAGGGCCTTCACATGACAGATAATAAAAAGGGAGCCTCTAAAGGGTAAATGCCTTGCCCAAGGTCAGCCAGAGCAGAAGCAGCGGACACAGCCAATTTATGTTTTTTGTTTTTTGAGACTAGGTGGGGTCTCACTCTGTCACTCAGGCTGGAGTGCAGTGGCACTATCTTAGGTCAATGCAGCCTTGACCTCCCACCTCAGGCTCAAGCGATCCTCCCACCTCAACCTCCCAAGTACCTGGAACTATAGGAATGTGCCACCACACCTGGCTAATTTTTAGGTTTTTTTTGTGGAGATGGGGTTTCGCCATGTTGCCCAGGCTGATCTCAAACTCCTGAGCTCAAGTTATCCGCCCACCTCGGCCTCCCAAAGTGCTGGGATTACAGGCATGAGCCACGGCACCCGGCCCAGCCTGGCAATTTAGAGGTAGCACTAGAACCTAGGTCTCCTTGTTATTAGAGATCTACTGGGTGGACAGTGCCTCAGTAGATATGTTCAAATTTTGACTTAAAAGGAGAGGCAGAGAGAAGGGGAGCGAGCTCAAAGATGTTTTCCTACCACCTGGCTGTGGGGTGCTTCATATGCCTTTGTTTCCTCACCTGTGAAAACATCTATATTCCAGCCCTGGCCACCTCCTCCCAGAACTGCTGGTATGAGGGTTGAGGGAACTGGTGGAAGAGCTTGTGATGAACGATATAGATCACAACACTCTGTACACCTCACAGGCTATGCACATGTATTTTCTCTAGGAAACACATCCATTTCTTCAGAAACAAGTGCTGAGCAAAGCACCCTTTCTCTCTAGAAGCTGCAGTTCAAGTCTCTGGAGACAGCAATGAAATAACCAAGAATCAATGACTAATGTCTATCCATAGCATGTGCTGCAAGACACAGAAAGCATAGATTTCCCTTCTCTTCTTCTTTACCTTACCCTCTCTGGCCTGTTGCACCACCAACCAGGTTTCTCAGTTAGAAACTGCGATGGCTCAAGCGCCCCACCAGATGTAGGTGCCATGGAAAAGCCACCCATAGCACAGGCTACAACACAGGCAGGGAATATCTCTGTCTTTTGAGAACTCAAGTAACTACACAGCAGAAGAAATCACTCAAAAGCAGCACTGGCCATGTATGCTTCCTAAGACTATGGCTCTGAAGGGCAAAGGCAGGCTTTCAGTATTGTTATGAATAGTAAGGACCTGTCCAAAAAGTTAGGAGGGCAGACCAGTAACTACTATTCAAAATGACAGACATTCTAGAGTCGCAAGTTGCACAGACTAATAATGAAGAATAAGGACAGGGCCACTCCTCTCAAGGTGGCAGAGAATTAATGGCTGAAAGGCAGTTAAATAGGCTATTACATATTTGCCCAAAGGAACATCGACTCAACAAATACAGTCACTATCACAGTGACAAGAAGTCATGACACATAGAGACAGAATAACCATCTTGGTTGGGGGCGGTGGCTCACGCCTGTAATCCCAGCACTTTGGGAGGCCGAGGCAGGCGGATCATCAGGTCAGGAGATCGAGACCATCCTGGCTAACACGGTGAAACCCTGTCTCTACTAAAAATACAAAAAATTAGCCGGGTGTGGTGG